CTGCACGGGGGCACACGGGGTGCCAGTGACCATCACAGTCATGGTGGTGCTAGTGGCATTGGTCTGGCGAGTTTGGCACTGGGGCTTGACGGAGCCCTGGGCCCCCTCCAGCCCCCCAGGAGCCACACTGATGCGGACCACAGTGGGGGCGCCAGAGGCACGGCGGGCATCACGCTGCTGGCCGGCACCGATGCTGGACATGGCCGTGGTGGCGGTGCTGGTGGTGCCGGTCTCATGAGTCTCGCAGGGCGGGTTCGAGCAGCCATGCTGCCCAGCCATGTTGGAGGTGGCTGTGGTGGCGGTGCTGGTGGTGCCCGTCTCGTGGGTCTCGCACGGCGGGTTCGAGCAGACACGGACCACACTGCCATTCTGCTGCCCCACAGTCGAGGTCACAAGAGAAGCAGTGGCCTCCTGCCTGTCACAGACAAACTGCACTTGGGTGGGCTGGGGGTGTCCCCCAAGGTTAGCCACGACAGTGGTGGTGGCGGTGTTGGTGGTGCCCGTCTCGTGGGTCTCACAGGGCGGGTTGGAGCACACCAGCGTCACGGTGCCAGGCTGCACGTCTCCCTGGCCCGAGTCGGCGATGGTGACTGTGGCTGTGGGCTGTTCCGTGGTAGGCGAGGCCAGAATGGATACGGGAAGGTCGTGCACAGGCTGGGCCTCAACCCCGCTGGGAGCTGTGATCAGGGTCACCTGGGTAGGCTGCGAGACAGGCTGGGAGGCAAGAGCTGCAGTCAGTGCCCGAGGGGTGGCTTCCCAGCCCCACCCTCCCTCCAGCGGGAAATGGACACCCTCAACTCTGCCTGCTCCTGGACCATGCACTGCTGCCTGGCTGTGGGGCAGGAGAGGAGGCTGGGCCTCACCACTCCCAGGGCCTTGGCCTAAGAAAGCACACGAAGACAATGCTGCTATACGCTTGCGAGTGTGACTTGCCACTTACAAGGCCAAGCTTGTGTTCAAAAGATGCCTCACCACAGCAGTCTACGGGACAGAGGCCGCGCGACTGACACTGGGGACCTCTCTGCCTGTGTGCCGGGTCAGGCCATCCTACCTGCATGGTGATGGTGGGTGTGGTGAGCCCACCGGCGGCCGTCAGTGTGGTCTGTGCAGCTGACACGGTGATGGCAGTGGGATTGATCACCTGGCTTGAGAGAGTGGCAATGGTGCCCAAGGTGGTGATGGGTGTGGCCAGGGAAGCACTGGTGCTGTGGCCCCCAGCTCCAGCAAGGCTGGTGGATACGGTGCCAGTCACTGTGCCCAGTGTGGTGACCCCTGCAGGAAGAGAGGAGAGGCGGGGTGAGGCTGCCACAGACACCCCTCTCCAGCCACACTTCAGGGAGGTAACTGTGGGACGTCCGTAGGGCCGGAGCCCAGCCACCACCGAGACCCTGGCCCGCAGGCTACACACCTGTGGTGCCCTTCACAACCAGTGTGGTAACGGCTGG